AAGGTTTACAAATAACAAACCAGAGCCAATGATGATGGCTTCCTAGTGTGGAATATATTGGAGGGGACAAGATAAGGGTTTCACATGCAGAAGAGATTTATTGGTCAAAGGGTTCACCTTCCACTTTTCCACTTTTATATAGCAGTAAATTATTTAGGCTAAATTCACCAGAACATTACTCTTTTATTTGGCAATGTGCCATGACTTGCTCTTTCTTTGTGTCCTTTCAATGCAAATCCTTGTAGTGTAACATCAGTTGATAAGAAACAAATAATTGAAGTAATAGGTAATTCCCTTTAAATTGTGCATATAGGACAGTAAGGTAATCATCTAGTGTAGAATGAGACCAGAGTATACAGCAGATACTGAAAGTGAAACAATATCAACCTCGACTATTAAATTACATTTGTACTAGAGAAAAATAACCCGCAGAAGACATGTAGGTTGAACAAGAGATAACACTAATCTAGCCAGCTTTAGACAATTTTCCTATAGACTTCTGAAATTTCACTTTAAAAGACAACTTTCTCTTTTCTTGCTTCCTTTTTTTTTTTTTCTTCAGGAAAAGTAACATTTAAATTAGGAATGCAACATTCTCTTTTTAACAAGTGTTGGATCTGGGAAATAAGGGAATTCGGTTTGGCAATATTTGTGCAGTATGGTTGAGGGTCAGTGGTACTGATCTTAGCAGACTGCAATAATTGTACTGCAAAGTTTCCAAAATGCGAATAATATTTGTTAGGTTTATGTCTATTTAGAAGTTTAGAAAGTATACTACATCATAGCAGAATTCTTACTATTATTCTTATTATCATCTTCCAGGCAGGTGGCGATAACCTGTTCTTTGAGAAATTCCCCAGGTATTACATTTTATGCCAACATTCCTTCTTCTCTAGCTTTATTTTCCTTGTGTTGCTAGTAGAATGATAGAACCTTGGTGCTGAAATATAAAATATGTCTTGAGGGTGCATGGTTTAGGAAACTTCAGAACATCTTTCAGTTGATGTAAGGAAAGATGTTTCTTTAGTGACTGCTCATTTAACAGGAGAATTTATTTTGGCCTTTTGTTTCATTGCAGAATCACTCTATATTTATTTCTTTCTCTCTCCGAGGTATTCCCATAAATGGACTCACTTTGTGTTTCGTGCACTGGCAAAAATACTGCAGTCCCAAGGCTAATATTTTCACAGGTTTTCCACAAAGGGATACCTCAAGTGCTTTTTCAAAATCCCTGAATTAACCTGCTTCACTCAAAATAACTCAACAAAATATCTTGTTAGAAGAAAGAAGGCAGGCAAGCCGACAGGCTAAAACTTAGATGATGAAAGTTGCCATTTTGTCGCTAGTGGGCAAGAAATATAGAGGGAATAAGGAAATGAGAACGTGTATAACGCACTAAAATCTCTGGGACTAAACTGGATTTAGTATTGCCAGGTGCCATGCGGTTCCTGCGCACGAACCACCCTCATCCTCCCCAGCTATGGAAGTCCGATAATTTCAGGGAGCATGTGGGGCCTGATCCAAAGCCCGCTAAAATCGACCAGGTACCAGACTCTACTTTCAGTGGACGCAGGAAAATGCATCCCGTGGGCCCTTAAAATTTAGGCTATCGCCTGTTCCTAGGCGGAGGTCACGGGTGTTTCTTTATTCCATTTCCCTGGGGAAAGGGGCAAGAGGCAGTTTTCTCAGATGCAAAGCGATAACCTGACCCCGGCGTCGCTCCCTGGAGGAGTGGCGGTCCCTCGGCCGCACACACGGTGCCACCGCCCCCCCTGCCCCTCTGCCCGGCCGGCGGGGACCCCTGATGGGAAGTGCCGCAGCAGGGCTACAGAGGACACTTAGCGATTTTTGTATGAAATTATTTGGAATTGTCGGGGGAGGGGTAGGGGGATGGTGGAGACGGAGGCTAGCCGGATCCTGAACTACGTTGAATGACTGTTGGTAACTATCTAGACTAATCAGGCAGATTTTCGAAGTAGGTGATGGACGCTAAGGACTGACCCGGTTTTAATCAGCAAACGTTTTCGTATAAGGTAACCTCACAGCTAACCCGGCTGTGAAGAAGCTACTACGCATCCCCTTTGTCCGCTGGTTTCGACGCAAAATACTTTTTTCTCTCTCTCCCCTCCCTGCTCATAGGAAAATGGCAATCTTCTTTCACAGAAAACCCAAAGAGTTTCTTAAAGTAACTTTTGAGAGTTTCTTTTGTCATCCCCAGAAATACCAGAAATCCCTCTAATCCGTGGTTTATTGCTAACGGAGCTGTTGCACCAGCTGAAAATACGCTGAAGTTTTGCCTTGAAGCGTTTTGCGTCTGTGCTTAGAGTATGGTGTCCAATAAGGCATAGGGCTCCAATCCAGATGTTGTCTGTCATCTAATGGAGCTTCTGCAATACGTTTTCTACCCTTTCTTAAAATGTTAATTGTGTGTCTTTTAAAACAAAAGCTAAAACTTATCCTCTGCGAATTTTTGCTATGATTTTACGCCTCCATAACTCCATTGATCATTCAAATTCCAAGTCTGAAGTGAGTCCTCTACATGCTAGATAATAGGCATGTGATATTAAAATTAAAAGGTATGACAAGACACTTTGGCTCATCGGCAGCTGAATCTAATGCTTAACGGTGTGCGCATGGAGAGAGATTTGCTTTCTTCAAGAAACGTGAGGAAATTATGATAGGACGTTCCCAAGCAAACGATGCCATTATATATTTAACAAGCTGTTACTTTCCAGACGCTAGCGGATTTTCATTAAATATGAATAACGTTTTTCTTGTGTATCAGCTTTTACTGGTTAGCGAAGGTCGGAGAAGAACATCCTAAGGAGCAGAGATCATGCGTTTGCACAAGGAACTCGAAATTTAGCCCTTCACCTGAAAATGCTGTAAGATCAACCGTAGCATCCTCTTCTGTTTATTCAGCATATAAGGCTACTCTCAGATGCTTAAATATAGCCGTCTAAATATGAACTCATCATAACTGTGAATATATGAACACATTTGGCTATTATAAAACATTTGAAACATGACTGAAATGTATAAACACATTTAGCTTATCTACTTCCAAATAGCCATTAAATAATACAACTAAGTACCAAGTTCCTACCATCTGCTCCGAACTGGTTGCTCATGGATGTCATTTGCAATAAAGCCATTTCATTAGTTTCCTTATCTTAAATATCTGGATCTGTGGCACGTTTATCATGATGAGACTGTCCTCCTTATCTAGTGAGGTTCGCTCTGCGACTCCCAGAATTGATAATCGCGCATGCCTTTTCCCTGCAGCTGCGTATTCTAAGCAAAACAAATAACGACATATATATTTGTCTCTGCAGTATGACCCAAGAGCTGATGTGTTAAATGGACCTTTTGGATGGAGTGTTAACAGAACCTTCCTCAGCCTTTTTGAAAAGTTAGAAACTGAATGGAAGCTTTTAACATAGAAGTGTTTGGCATTAATTTCTTCGTTCTCTCCGTCTTTCTGTAAGAATATGACACAGGGGTATGGAAAGTCAGCTCCCTGTTTCGAAAATGCACTTCATGTCTGTATTCCTTGCCCTTCGTCACATGGGAGTTTGAAATACACTAATCACAGAGTCGCCAAGGTTGGAAGGGACCTCTGGAGATCATCTGGTCCAAAATGAGTTGGAAAGTTTGTCTGGCTATATTCCACGTTTCCCTTTTTCCCCTAGTCATTTCTTTTGTGAATTTTAATCTTCCTGAGCTCTTCTGGAATCAGAGGTTCGAAGTTCCCCTCCAGACATCAATATCCCGAAACTTGCTGGCTTTATTTTCTCTACAACTGTGGACTCTAAAAGGTGCTACACCGCGAAAAATTACACAGCCCTCACTCACCCTGTGGCTGAAAAGCAATTTAGAAGAAGGTAAGACTAATAACGCAAGAAGGCACGGGTAATGGGTGGAAAGAAAAGTATAGCCCCTTTCTGTCTTCTGCTATGTGCAGGTAAAATTAAACGGCACGCAAATGTGGTAAGTTATAGAGATTACTCCAGATTTTTCCCCAAAGTAAAGATATCAGTCTATGTGTAAGGCAGGAGGGGGAGGTCACAATTGGGGAATATGTAATCCTGAGGCATCGTAGATCATTTCGCCTACAGTTTTTCACACTGGGATGGAATTTTGTTTTCACTATATTATTTCATTTTGAACATCCACACCCTGCGTCTGAGGTCTTTCCTCCTGCACTGGACTGCTTATGATAAGACAGTTCTCAACTCCACACCTGAAGACCCGGTTACTTCATTTTGCTAATCTGATTAGGATTGAACACCTATCCATTATTCAACAGTTGTAGCAAAACAATCTTCCTACATACTTTTTCTGTATTTGCGTCAAAGAATGAGCTGAGTCCAGTACTTGTGAAATTTGCGCGAGACAATTTGGGGTAGGAAATAAACGTCTCTGTAGTTCCTTCCACCACCACCACCCCCTGCACCCTCCCGGGAATAAATTATATCGCCCAAAATGTATGGTGTCTTTGTTCATCGCTAGTTCCTAGTTGCTATGGAGAGTTTTACGCCTTGGTAAACTATATTTCACCTCCTCCCGGTGAAAGCTATTCTTTTTCTAAATGCACACTTTGCAGACTACGGTCCTTCACCCCCTTGTCGCCTGCACTTCCTAAGCCCACGCTGGTCTTCCCTGGGCGAGCTGTGCCTTCACAGTCCTCGGAGCACAGCTCACCCTCTAGCACTTACACAATGGCTTGACTATCGCCAGATGCTCTCCTGCTTCTCCTCGTTTTCATTGTCCCCTTTTGAAGGTTTCTGAAGGATAGTCCCTCTATCTGTGAGTCGCAGTTAACCGTGGCACACGTCTTCTCCAAATCAATGAGAGGTGCCCAGAAGGAAAGCGTGAACAATGGGATTTTACTAAGCATGAAGCGTATTACCCCCAAACCCGACATGACAGGCCACGCTAAAGCAGTTGAATGACTTTCTTGAAACGAGACTTTTCTGAAGGCTCCTCCCTTCAATGAATTACACCGTCTAGAAAAGATCGACATGAAAGTGCACAGGGGCACCCCAAGGCTTTGTAAATACGAAGCGAAAGAGTCTTTGTCACAAGACCCCACAGCTTCGATCCCAAAGCCAGGGAGTAGCGCACTTTCTCCGGATGGTACCAGACTTCTCCTCACTCGACACCTATTCTGAGCGTTATAAAGGACAGGGCTTTCTTTGACCCTTTCCCTTCTATGTCTCCAGACTGTTTGATGGCATGCACAGCAGTATAACTCAGTTCAGCCAGCTCCTATTGACTTGTGAACGAGGCATACCCTACACAGCCATCCCCAGAGTTGTCCTGATCCTGCAAGAGGACCAGAAAGGACTTCCTAGGTCACCTGCTAATACCCTTTCCCACCTCGCGGACACAGTCACAGGAGCCATATACACGCACTGCACCATCGCTACATCAAGTGAAAAACCGGAGAGCTCCTCGAGAGCCTCCAAATTTCGGTTTGCTAATCGTCACTTCAGCAACGTTTCTCCAATAGGAGAACGGCGCACTACATGTGAAAGTCAGCTGACTTTCCCCCTACCTCTGCTAACGAAAGCCTGCCTGCACGTATACACCTATAGGCGACCCAGAGCCAGCCTTGGCTCCTTTTTCCGAGGGCACAACGACCAGGCGGCCAGCCCTCCTCCCCCTCGGGGGTGTGCGTGTGTCTTGGCTCCTCCTGGCATTACTCAGCAGCGGCGCGGCGGGCGGCGGTGCCGGCA